TTTTTTTTTTTTTTTTTTTTATCTTAGAGACAGAGGAAAAAAACCACTAAAAATGGTACAGAATTTCAAAACAAGATGGTAGGAAATTAGCAAAGGTTATTATATTGCATAGTGTTATCTTCAAAGTAGTTGCTCAGGTTACCAGATATAAGCAAGCAAAATTTTTTTTCTATAATTTTATTGAGCAACAAATAGCAATGAGACAGTTTCAAACCCAATTGGTTGGACAGTTTCAATAATTCACACACTGCATACATTCTTCCTAGTGCTTAATTGCTGTACAAGATACGGACATGATATCCTATTTACAAACACCATTAAAACAAATCCCTCTATTCATTAGGAGAATGTAACTATATATGGACAAATTACACCGCTGTAAATGTGGCTGCACAAATATTGCTATGGTATTATGTTTTCATTTCTTCTTTTTGAGAAATTTTTTGAGGAATCTCCCCTCTGATTTCCATAGTGGTTGTACCAGTCTGTACTCCCACCAATGAAGGGTCTCTTTTTCCCCACAGCCCCTCCAGCACTTGTTAATGGCTGATTTCTTGATGGTAGCATTCCTTTCTGGGGTGAGATGCAACCTCAGTGTTGTTTTCATTTGCATCTCTTGAATGACCAGTGAGGTTGAACCTTTTTTTCATATATTTCTTGGCCATTTGTATTTCTTCATCGGAGAAATGTGTGTTCATTGCAGATGCCCATTTTTGGACTGGGTCTTTGAATTTTGGGATTCTGAGTTTAAAAATTCTTCACATATTCTAGATAGAAGCCTTTGTCTGAGGGACAGTTGGCTAAAGTTTTTTTTCCCCAATTCATTGGTTCATTTATGTATCCTTGATGATAGCAATTCTGTTTTGGGTGAGAAGAACTTTCTAGTTTTGGTTTGCATTTTTCCGAACATTTTTTAATATACCTTCAGGTCAGTTGAACAACTTCTTTTTTTTTTTTTTTTCATTGTCCCAAATTTATTGACATTACAGCACAGCAAAAAGATTCAAACAGCTCCACGTGGTGTTTTGAAATTCATCCTGACGGTAGGCTGTGTGACCTGCAGGTTGGAGAGGCTGCCGAAGTCCAAAAGCTTCAGCATTTCTTTAGTGTCAGGATCTACTTCAATGATTTCCTGATCCAAGGCTGAGACCGCAGGGA